TCATCTGACTCGCGCCGAACTGGTTGAGTTCATTCAGAAAATGCAGCGCAGCGAGGCTGTTAATGGCGGAGCTGTCGGTGGCGGTGTGGAAAATTTTAGCCAGCTGCCCAGCATGAGCAGTAGTGGCGGAGGCAGCGGGCGCGGCGAGAACGGGCTCAGCTTGTCAGCGTCCAATTCGACCATCAAGAACAATTACAGCCAGCTGCCCAATGTGCAGGTAACATTCCTCACCCACGACAAGCTCACTGCCAACTATCGAAGGCGATTGGAAAATCAGGTGGCCCAGCAAATGAGCTCAACGCTAGCGCAGTTTATTAAGAAGGAATCGTTTGTGGTGGTGGTGGTGGAATTGCCGCCTGCAGTGGTGAACGCCATAGTTGGTGCTATCAACCCGAGAGTGTTACGCAGAAATGAGACTGAACCTGAAATGAATTTTGTGGTCGAAAGGTAAAAAAGCTATATAATACATAATCATACACAAATATTTGTCAAGACTGATTGTTGAACTGACTGACTGATTGAATGACTGAATAATTGAATGCTCTTCAAAACGTAATAGCTAGAAAGCAGTTTTTTTAATATTTGGGGAAATTCCTCACGCAAGGGTGGAAAACTGATGAAAAACTATTGTACATAACATAAACTCTTTCAAAGATCTAAACATTTTTTGAGTATGTGGTTCGCTCTTTTCGGAAAATCCACCCTTTCACCGAGTGAAGCATTGAGGACTAAGGCTGTGATGGTAAAATTTCAAATGTTACCTAGTGGGAATCAAACTTGTTTTCAAAGTTCTGTATGATAAAATAAAAAAAAGATTTTACCGTCCTTGGAATATCTTTTCCACGGGCGGTAAACTGATTATATATTTAATAAAAAATTAATAAGTTGGACAAAGTCGGCTTAATAAGAATCCTTTCATGCTTTTGCAGATTTCCGAAATACAAACGTTATATATCCGAAATACACGAGGAGATCGTGGATAATCTGAGTGATGCCAAGACACCAATTGTGGCCTTGTACAGCATTTCTGATTCCTATTATCGAGTTATCATCTAAAGGTGATTTCTACAGCTACTATATGATGCCATGCGATACAATGTTAGAACTATCTATCCTTGATTGCTTCAAATTAGTTTACGTTTAGATTTTTGATTAACTAAAGTTTCCTGCAATAGTTCTACAACTAGATTTTTTGTAAGCTGTGTTCAGAGGCCAATGTATACTTATTTACCAAAAATTATGTCAAGACTTCAACAAATGTTTTATTTTGCCAACTGCGCCGAATTTTTCTTTATTGGCATACAAAAATATTTATTTTCAACAATTTAATTTAGGAACCCTACGAAAACTGCTACAATTGAGACTATCTATTATGGCAAATATTAATTGAAAATTCTGTTTCTTTCGCATATAAGTAATAACGGGGCGAAAATTAACAATGCAAGCACCCATTTTCAACGCACCAAATGGCATAAACTTTACAATGAAATGTATTTTAAAGAACTATTTTACATAATTCAAAATTAAATTGATTTGTTTAATGTATATACATGAAATTTATAACTTAATATATAATATAATCGCAAGTCTAAAAACAGAAACAACATTTTTAACAGTACAACTGCTTGAGCTATTCCAAGTTCCAATCTCCAGCTACCTCAGGAGCTGTTCTCGCTGGCTGCCGCTTTGTTTAGACTACGCGGAATACCCACCGCTGGACCCTGTAGCACTTTGCGGGAGAGACGCATAAATCCAGAGACAGGATCGCGACCAAAGTACTTGACTTGTATTTCCTGATCAACCTCCAAGCCTAGAGCTGAGGGATGCGCAATCTTGCGTTGATCGAGTTGCGAGTTGTGCAACAGTGCAGGGGGCATGCTTGGATACAAAGTGACCATCACGCCTGTATCCCTCAGCTCAGTGATTTTCGCTGTGTAAATTCCACCGAATTCCAAATCTGGCACGCGTTCCTTGTGCATGTAACCATCGATCAGCTCTTTGGCCTCATCCAGCGCCGCCTGTGATGGAGCAAAAACTGTGAAAGTACTGTCGTCGGCAGCGGTCAGGGTGGTGCCCGTTTCCAAATAGATGCGCTTCATATGCAGTCCGCTGGGTCCAATGAGTTGGGCACGTTGATGTGGCTCCACCGCGAGCCTCTCGCTGACAGGCCAGCAATCCTTGCGGTATTTGCTGAAAAAAACAAAAAAACGAGCTTAGTCGATATTCAAATGCAAGATGTAATTGGACTTACCGTGGTTCTTTGATGCTTTCACCCATGATATCCAGTATCTTAGACTTGGCATCGGTGGCTTTTTGCAGTGACTCCATAACCACTTTGAGCGGTATGCCCGGTATTTTGAGATCCGCTTGAATGGCAGTAAAGCCCTTGCGGGTGCCCGCCACTTTCATGTCCATGTCGCCCATGTAATCTTCAATACCCAGAATGTCAGTCAAAATGCGGTAGTCCTGCAGATGCTTGGTATCATTGTTCTCGTACTTAGTGACCAAGCCAATGGCCACGCCGGCGGCAGGCGCCGTTACTGGAACACCCGCGTCCATGAGCGCCAGGGAACCACCACAGACGCTCGCCATGCTGCTGGAGCCATTCGATTCCAGCACTTCTGACGTCAAGCGCACTGTAAATGGATAGTCGTGCGGCAGTGTGGGAAGTAAGGACCGCTCGGCTAAAGCACCATGGCCCAATTCTCGGCGTCCGAGTGGTCCAATTCGGCCCACCTCACCAGTGGCGTATGGAGGAAACTCGTAGTGCAGCATAAAGTTTTTTGCCTTCAGGCCACCGCTGTCTAGTGCCGCCAACGTGTCAAGCTTCATGGCACTTTCCGGAGAGTCAAGACTGACCGTGCAGAAGACCTGCGTCTGGCCACGTTGGAACAGGGCAGAGCCATGCAACGGTTTGTACATGTCTACCTGGCAACTTATGTTGCGCAGACTGTCGTAGTCGCGACCATCGCAGCGTCGGTTACTCTCGAAGATTAGCTCACGGAAAATATCACGACAAGCCTTGTTAAACTCCTCTCCAATGGCTGCGGGATCTGTGTCTGGATATGACGACCACACCTTGTCAATGACATTGGAACGCACCTCGTTCACGGCAGTGTCACGAGATATTTTGTCATGTTGTGCATCTTGGAAGATTTCACGCAGACGCATTTCGCACATGCTCTTCACCGCCTGAACCAGCTCTGAATTTGCTTCTGGCAGCGCATCCACTTCACGTTTATGGCGTCCATAAGCCTTTTGAAGTCGTTCAATTTCATGGATTATAAACTGTGCCTCACGCGTGCCCTGCTTGATGGCCTTCAGTAGATCCTGCATTAGCACTACATTACCCTTTCCTTCCAGCATAACCACGAGATTTTGTTTGGTGGCTGAGACAACCAAATCCAATTGCGAAGATTGAAGTTCGCGGCGCGTGGGGTTAATCAATACCTCACCATCGTTCAGGCCAACACTAAAAAAGGATTACAGTCATTTTACAATCGACATTGCTCATGAAACTTCGAATTTACCGCACGGCCCCTATGGGTCCATTCCAGGGTATGTCGCTCAGGGAGAGCGCCATGGAAGCCGCATTAATGGCTAGAACGTCGGGCGAGTGGACCGCATCCATAGCCAGCATATTGCACACCAGTTGCGTCTCGTTTCGATAATCCTTGGCAAACAAAGGACGAAGTGATCGATCTATTAGACGCGCCGACAGTATCTCCTTTTCCGATGGGCCCAACTCGCGCCGCATAAAGTTCATCGGTATGCGGCCCGAGGCGGCGTTCTTCAGGCGATAGTCCACAACCAGCGGCATGAAATTTTGTCCAGGCGTTGCCTTCGCCTTCGCCACCGCAGTGACCATAACCGCAGTATCTCCCATTTGGCAAACAGCAGTGCCATTGGCAAAACGCGCCAGTTTGCCCGAGCTAATGGTCATGTTTCGCCTGATAACGAAAGTACATTATAAAATAGTTTTTGCTCATGGAAGCGCTTGTCAATTGTCTTACCCATTGCTGAAACTGACCTCTACGGCAGGGACTACGCCGTTAGTGGCGCTTTGTAGGTAACGGCGATTAATTAAACGCGCACCAGAGCATTTCAGGCGATGGTTAAGTAATTTAAGTGCTTTTCTCGTAAAAATCATGATTCAAAGCGTGCAAGTTATCTACAGTTTGCCGGTTGTCTGCGGCTGTAACGAACCACGAGTAACCTTCGCGCAATATACAAAACTATTTACAAACTTAAAAGTAATTTATAAATTTGATTGTGTAGTAACACATATTTTTAAATTAAGTTAACTAATTCAACAGCATGTCTTTCATATTAATAAACTAAGCTTATTTTTTATATGCTTATAACACTTGTGACGTCACACAATGTGATTTTTGTAATCGATAACAAAACCTTATCAGTCTCATTTATGTATTTAACAGTAACAGTCTGTGGTTGTTCACTTATCGAAATGCAGTCATGTCGAAGGAAACAGTCTGTTAAGGCTTTCATCAGTCTTTGACTTACAGCACGTTAAACGCTGTGCCTGTTAATTAACAGCATTTGTGTTACGAACGGACGTGGGTGTATACCTCTTTTGCTAGCGCGGACGTAAAAAATATTTAAAAATTATTGTTAATTAATACGCGTGCGAGCCGCAGCAAATGCAAATTAAACGTGCGTGTTGTGCAAGCCAATTAAATCAAGTGCTTTAAATTTTTGGCATTCTCTGTTCGATCGCCGCGCTCTTGCTCTATCGGGTGTTTGCATGTGTAAGTGTGTGTTTGCAGCGCGCAAGTTCAAGTGTGTGAGTGCGTGTATGTGCAAGTGCTAGTAAGTGTGTGTTTTGTTGGCCAAAAGCAAAACGCAAAGAGAGCCGCTATAGCAGCGGCCGCAGCAGCAACAAAAAGAAGAAAAACCAAAATCGACAAATGCGGTCAAATTGAAAAGAAAAAATAAAGTATTGGTGTCGCCAACAACAACAATAACAACAACAACAACGAGACAGAAGCAGCAGCAAAGCAAAAGCAAAGCGAAGCAAAGCAAAGCAAAAGCAAACTCAAAAGCAAACGCAAAACTTGCCGAGAAAGCGTGCCGCCTGTGCCGACGTCAGCGTTGACGCTGCTGCCGCTGCTGTTGACGCCGTCGCGTGTGTGAAAAGCCGGAAAATTGCTTCACAAGGCGTTGTCGTTGCAAAGACATTTTCTAGCGCGTCGCTTTAATTTGTTTATGCTGATCTGCCTCTGTCGCTGTCCCTGCTGCTGCCCTTGCGCCTGTTCTGCGAATTGGATGATTCGCCTTATCAACGGCGCCCCCTTATCAGCCGCATTCTGATTGTTGCGAAAAAAATTATAAAAATACCAAAACACATACTAAAACCTAAGCATTTTAAGCACAAGCGGCTGCTTCTACGGAAACAACAACAACAAGAACGCAAAGCAAACAGACAAGGTAAAATTTGCTCGCCTAACCCCACCATCAACAACCCTGCTTTAACTTTGTCAAAAAAAAAAAAAAAACTAGTTAAAAGGTTTTAGTCCATTGCAACAGACTGCGCAATACTCTATTTATAATATAATAACAATCAAAGCAAGTTTAAAATAACCAACTGGATTCTTGGGTTCGATAGCCTGGAAGGCAGGTCTTTCAAATTGGGACTAGGAAATATTGATTTATCCCTAGAGGAGTTCTAGCTTTAGAAGTGTCAAAGACATGACATATAGATACATAAAAGGGAATCGGTCCTGGCAGATTGTGTGGGGATCAACGGATGGACCAAACACTAAGTTAAAATGCTTGCGTAGTATGTTTGGCACATTTGACTTTGAAGTGGCGGAAAACGGTGGTTAAACTTTGTATGAAAAGCATCAAAAACAACGCATATTGATTTTCGCGGTTTGCCAATCCCCCTTGACGGCATACAATCAACTTTGACGATATCTGATGCGGTTATACATGCATATTTCCAAGCATCAAGTTTCTAGATACAATCTACAGAGAAACAGTGGACAGTGCAAAACCAATACACTCCTTTTAGCTTATGACTAGAGTATAATAAATTCAGCTGCACCCATTTGCCTGCCGCCTTTTAATTGTCACACCTCATTAGCTGTTAGCTTTGCCAGCGCCGGCTGCATAAGTGCTTTAAAGTATTTACTGTAATTTACACGCCGTCTGCCCCGCGTTGCCCCAGCCGTGACGATGGACAACGCAATTTCATTAACTTAATCGATGCTCCTTTGATGCTGCTACTGCTGCTGCTGTTGCACATGCATTGAGTGCTTTATGGCCTGCCACAGATACTCGCTCGCCTGCCGCATCGCCCCGCCCTTCTCTCATTGAGAGTGAAAGCATCCGCGTTCGCACCGCCATCAGCGTCATAGTCTTGGGCATTGTTATCACTGCTGTTGTTCATGCTATCTGCAAGGCCTCTTCAACCTCTTCTTGCCCTCAAAAAAATAAATAAATAAAGTGTATGAAACAAAAAAAAAAAAAAGAAAAAATAAAACACATAAACTCATTATGCTATGCGCACTTCCGGTCGATGTCTGTTTGTTCTCAACTTTGTCATTGTTTTGTCTGTTCCACGGGTTGCTTATCGATAAAGTTTCCATACGCATCGTTATGAACATATCTAAAATATAGATTTCACATTAGCTCATAGGTTTCCTAATGAAATATACATGGAGAATGATATCTTTGCTAAAAGAGATGCCAGCTTAGCATATACGCCAAAGAAATAATAATTATTATTAATCTTTTAAGCATTGTCTACAGTTACAAACTATCAAGCAAACTTTTTAAATAGCTTTAGCAACTTTAGCTTTCTGTGCTGCTAAGGCAATACAGAACAATTTATAAACTAGTTTGGGCCGTTCAATGAAAAAACAATAGCAGGAAAAATGGCATTTATTTTTATACTTTTGAAGTTTTTAGTTTTATGTATAAAACTTAACTGAACTTAAGTAGAAGACGAAAACAATTGAAATTCAATAGTTTAAAGAGATGTCAACGCTGTCCGTTAATAATGATTATGCCTTATAGTGACTTATAATTAATTATACAAATTAAAAATGTACAATATATATATATCATTTTGAATACTACAAAATATATACACTATTTGGGTAATTCTTTGAACAACTCGCGTATGTACTCGATTTATATCTATTTGACTTTGCGTTGCGCTGTTTTGTTATCTTCTTTGCATTTCTTTTTGTTGCTATTGTTGCTTTTGTTGTATGTCATTGTAAGTGACACTGATTGCCGATTGCCAGACGGGCTGCATAATTAGGGAGCGCTTAGCATTTGCTGATAGCGTCAGCCGCTTCCGCTTCATCACTCATCAACAGCAGCGGCGGCGGCAGCAGCAGCAGCGGCAGCGTTCAGTGTTCCGTTTTCAATTTGAAGAACCAACTGTGACCCGCCATTAGCAGTTGCCCAGTGCCCGGCGCAGAGTCAGCCAAGAGTTGGCCACATGTGGTGCCGAGTGCGGGTCCTTCGCCATGCCATTGTTATTGCCATTAGAGGCGATCCTAGGCTAGGGGCAGAGTATTTTTGTGGCACCATAAAAGCATTCGAGTGCCGTTCGTTTGCGTCACAGTTTCAGCACTGTCACACGAACACACATGCACGCACACACGCACACAGCTTAAAAGAATGGAAGAAAAACATGATGTGTATATTGTCTGACTGCAAAGACAATAAACCATCAATGAGCAGGACGAGGCGGAGGACCAAACCCCAAAGCAAATAAAACTCAATCGAATATTATTATCAACAAGGACAACGACGCGCCCCAGAACTGAACTCGCACCCATTCGTGTTGGGCTTAGCCCCGGCAATTGGGGATTGGCCACATGCTGCTCATCGTTTGCACGCGTCATGGCGCTATATAGCTGTGCTGCCGGGCATATCGAGCACAGCGCGAGCCCAGTCCAGTTCCAGTCCCAGTCCCGTTTCTTAAACCGTTTCCAATCCCAGACCTGTTTCGTCATTGGCTATGGGTCTAATTTGGCGCGACTTTGGCACTTGTTAGCCAATATGTTTTCGGCCATGTTAATGGCCAAACGGAATTGATATTAATTGCCGCACGCCTCCACAAACTGTAGTGGGCGTGGCAGCGACCAGCAGCCGCGCTAAGCGCTAGTCCATTAGCCAGCCACGAAACTCGCATGAAAATCAGCTTAACTCATTTTTGCGGCAACAATTGGGAAAACCAAAAAAGGCAACGGCTTATCGGCTTTACGCCTATTGTATTGTGGTCGACTATCCAATACCCTGTTTTTCAGTTCTCTTAATAATATTTTGTTGTTGTCGCTATTAAGAGTGCGAACTCCTACATGAATTTATGAGTGCAGCTACCTGAAACCCTATGCCACATATGTAATTGGTTTTATAGCTCTAGTTGTAGCTCTATGTGTGTGTGTGTGTATGTGTGTATTGTGCGTGTGTTCACACACTTATCCATTGCTGGTTGCTTTGGCAACGCATTGTGACTTTCAATCCAATTAATCCTTGCTCGCCTTCTTCGCACAACCCCTGAGAAATTTATCCTATTACAGTTTTTGTATAGACCCCTGATTGAATTAGACATTTTTAGATGAAGCGCCGATTGGCGTCCCATCTCCGTTTTCCGAGAACAATCGTTTTTGTGTGCGGACACGTTTCAACAATCGAATTCTATTCGAGTTAAAAAAGTAGAATTCGAAGTGTGACAAAAACTTATGTCCAGCAAATGCAAGACCAATGGATCTTCCAAAATTTCATAAAATTATCAAAACTTATTAAAGAATATATAAATTATATTATACACTAATCACATTTCAAATAACTAGCGAATAACTGAAGTTTCTGTTAGCTTAAACAAAAACGAAAAATATTTCTTGCAATAATTTATTTTATTTATTATTTGCCTTGAGCCGAATCGCTCCAAAATACAGTGCAAATAAATTGTGTAAATATTAAACATAAACTGTTTCATAAGTTGTTGCACATTATTTGGCACAACTAGCCAAACGCCAACCCTTTATTAAATTCTGTTGGACTAGTTACAATTGAATTAAATTGCAATATCCGACAATGTTTACAAAAACAAAAGGAGTTATCTATAAACTTGAACTTGGCAACTTAAATAACTTAAATTCATACGAATTTCGATTTCGTATTGTAAAACTCTTATTTACATTATCAACTAAACAGAAATATGGTTTCCATCATTTTAAACCCAATTTAAAGCATAACCTTTGCGTTAAGTTTGTATATCTTGGAAATTTTCGAATGAGCAGCCACAAAAAATTCCCTTGAATTCCATTTAATCTAACATTGCAAAAATTCTACTCGACTAGAGTGCATCATACTTAGGTTTACTTACTGATGAATTAATATTTAAGTTCCCATTCAGTTGAGTAGCTCTTAGAAGAATCAACTGCAGAACGCCTTGTGTGTTCACTTAATTTCCTGTGCTCACTAGGCTTATTTCAGGACGCTAACTACATCCAGGTCCTGCCATGTTTAGCCAGCCATCATTTTGATAAGAAATTTCAGCTAATCAAACGGCGCTTGATGGCGCGGAAGACGCTGTTAAGGGGGGGGGGGGGGGGGGGCTGGGCAGGCAACCTGCTGTAATGACCTTGATAAACTTTTGTTTTTCAGGTTGTCAGTGGGCTCCTGTGCTTTCTTAGGATGTGCACGGCTGGTTTGGCTTTCGGCCATTTTCTTTTTATTTGTTATTGTTCTCGGCGTGCATATTTGAAAAACGTTTTACGTGCTACCTCGTAAAAGATACATATGTATGTAGCTCTACCTATGTATATACAAACAAACTTGGTTGTTTTTAAAGGAAATAAATAAAATGATTCACACAAAGCTCGAGGCTGGAGTACCATAAGCTTAATGTGCAATAACTTTAACATGTAGTGCAAGGCATTCTTATTTATTTACTTGAATTTAGTGTTAGTCTTAATCTTAGATATTTTTTACAGGGTATCAATAGTTTTTACAGTGGCCTTTTTTTAAGCTTTTTTTTGCGGCCGTTTTGCAGCTTAGCTCGGCTTGCTGACTGCGTTTTGCTGTGCTTTTCACTCAATTCTGATTAAGGAAAAACCCTCGTCCTGCCTGGTATTGCTTTGACTGAGTGTTATTGCCACTTTGAGATGTCAACCTTTAAACCTGGGGCCTTTTTATGGGTCTGCGCCATACCTGTGTGGCACACAAATTGAATTTGACTGTTCTTCTGTCAACAAGCAAATGGTATACGCTTGTATTGGCCTACATATAGGTTAATACATATATCATGATCCATCAGCAAATGCCAGCAAATGTTGCCAAAATTATTCAAAGTGTCATTGAAACTTTTTTTGTGCCAGAACAAAAGATCAACCCAAAGTTAAATCATCAGCAGCTGCCCCGCTTTCGTTTCCACTCCCCTCTCGCTTGAAAACCAATCATTTGTACATTGAACCCCGCCCCGAACAGCGACCGTGGCAGCTGTAAATATGCATGGCCAGCGCCATGTGGCCAACACCTTGACACTGCGGCTGGCGACTTGGCAACAGCAACACACAGCAAAAAAAAAAATAATAAAGAGCCAAACAGCAACAAACATTCTACAGACGCTTTATGCAAAAACAAAAAAATACAATGAAAAAAAAACATATATATATATATATATATATATATATATATATATATATATATATATATATATATATATATATATATATATATATATATATATGCGTCAGGCTGGCAGGCAAACTGGCTCATAATGCGCCTCAGGGTACAGCTTTGGGCACCGTCTCCCGGGCCGGGCCATGGCAGCGTGTCCAATCGACCAGCCCGGCGGCATACGTGTAGAATTCATTAACAATAAAGCGCAGCAAAGCCGAAGAGCCTGCAAGCATGGCAAGACGAAGCTGGAAAGGAGGCAGGGGATGTGGTTGAACGGCATTGTGGCAGCCAAGAATTCTCTGTAAGCCAAATCCTGGGTGGTCTTTTTGACATGGCTGCACTTTGTTATGTGAGCTGTTCCCATAAAAGATTTTATATTTTTTCACAAGCTTAGAATCGAGAATGTTAAAAAATAGAAACACTAACTTTTGGACATGAGTCTAGTTTAATATTTTAATAATCATAAAATATTACTTAATTATGAAGAGTTGTACAGCTGAATTAAATACGTTCCATTTTACTTCTTTTTTTTAGATATCTATACTAAGGAGCTCAAGGTAAGATCTGTTTATAGTGAAACTGTTAAGTTTACCAAACATACATATATTTGATCATTATTATAAGATTTCACTTCAAAATAACATACACGCTGAGATACTAATAAATTTTACTAGCATTCATTCATACGTATCGAAAACTTAAACCTAATATATGTAAATACTTTACTCTCGTAAATGTATTATTTATTGTTGAGAAAGTAAATAAATGATTAACAATGAAACAAAACGTAATCTAGAGCGGGTTTAAATCATGCATATATTGGAGCTTATTTAAAAGTGAAGAATTTTTGTGAATTGCAGCCTATAGAGCATCGGCCTCGCGATTATGTTTAACATTTAGCAAAATCTTTGGCCGCAACGCGTCGGCCTTAATTTAATGTCTGTGGTTTATATTAACGCTGTTCTTGCTGTTGTGGTTGTTGTTGGTGGTGGTGCTGCTGGTGGGGATGGTTGTGGTGCTGCCTCCGCACTGTCATTAATTGATTTTTGGCGCTTGCTTCATAACAAACTTGTTCTGGGAAACGAGTGCCTGTCGCCAATTGCCTACCCCCAATGAACGGAATGCATATATCACGATTATGGAAAATGAATATATGATATTAAAAAAAAGGGAACACTGCGCCTGACAGCAAGAGACAAACAAAAAAAAAAAAAAAGAAAAAAAATAATCGTGCGAGCGAGAAAGTGAGGAAAGGATAGACACTTGTACAAACATTTGGAGTGTTTAACTTTGCGCTCGTTTTTCATTTTGTTTTTTTCGCTATAGAATTCTTTTTTTTTTTTTTGCTAACATTGGTTGTGTTCTCCATAAACTTTTGCCTTTTGTTGCCCTTGTTTCCTTCAAAACACAACATTGTTTTTTCTGTAGCAGCTGCGAAACACAATAACTAAATGCATTTGTTGATGTTGTGCACAACTTTGGCTAAGGTAATTGCCAACGTCTCTAAATTGTGGGCGTGGTAAGGGAAAAGTTATAAGGTTTATTTTAAATACATTATCTAGTAAACTTTGCATAGTTTGTTTGGTTTTCAATTTAAGCCAGTTTGATAACTTTTTGTGCAAACTAGCAACAAGGACTTGCAGCTAATAATAATCTGTTATTGAAAACTTATACACCCTATTGCACTTAAAATTCTGTTTTATTAAATGTTAGGGAAACCTGCCAAATACTATAATTAAACTAATTAATAAAATTATTCTGTGGTAGCATCCTTCTCTTGTCAAACTCGCAGTTGCGATTGAAATGTGTTATTGAAGAAAAAAAATATTTTCGCAAACGAATATACCTCACGCAAACAATAAATGTGATGGTATTAAAACAAAGTTTGTCGCCTGCGACACTTGACAGCTTTTGAAATAGTAAAAAGACACATATTTTTATATATATAAAAAGAACTTGGAGCGTGGCTTGCACGCTAGGGACACAAATGTTGAAGCTGACTTTTAGCGTTTTCTGCTGCTATTTTTACAGTCGCACTTGGCAACACACAAACTTGTCAAGTTTATGGAACAGCCAAACTTGAAAGTTGTTCTCTCCCACGTTTGTCACTCATTCTCAATTGCAAGAGACGAGAACTGAGAACGCGTGAAGTGCAGGTCTTGAAGTGCGCCAGCTACATCAGCTGACGGACACTTTGTCATTACGAGTTTCGGTTGAAATCTTTATGAGCCCATAAATTTTGCCAATCGATCGTTGGACGTTTATTTTATACAATCGCCTACCTGTCTGCTAAAAATATGCCATTTATTCTTACCTTTCTTTTTTTTTATAGCGTCTGACAAGTTTTGACACAGTTGTCGTACATCAAATGGGGACGGCGCAAAATGATTGAACATTTCCATTAAGCAAACAAAGACATACGTAAAAAATGATTTTCTTGGGAAGTAGCTGACTGCACAATTATCTGTGAAGATTCCAGTAGTTATGTTCTTTCTAATTATTCCGAGCTTATATAGCTATACGATAAGTGGTGGGTACATGTTAAATGTTGGGTAAACTGTAAGCTGGGACAGATCATTTTTTATCCTGACTGAATAACAAAATGATAAACTGAATGATTGGTGGTCAACGCACATCCCAAACCGTAAGAGCTAGGAAAACAGAAATGTTCACTATATTTACCTTATGTAATTCCACCCGCATGTGTGGAAAAATCGCGAAAAATATTTGCATGCAACTTGTTTGTTTATTTTCCGATCGACATAAAACTCATTTTGAAATATCTCTGTTCAAATTGTATTTGAGGGGTGTTACACACTTTCGCGGAATCCAAGCTTCTTCGGTGGAAAATGTGATTCAACGATTTTTTGGGTTAAGTTTTCAGTTTTGTCCGATCTGCCTGAAACCTCTTTTCGAAGCTTTACTAACAACTTAGGGAAAAAAATTAAGAAATTTCACCCGAAACTAGAAATTTAAGATTCAAGATTCTCACAACAAACACCACCAAACTTCACGAGCAAGGCCGAGCAGTAGCCACTAGTTACATCTATGTCAATATTTCGGCACAACAAAATTTAATTTACCATAGTACAGAAGGGTTTCATTAAAGCTAACTTTCTTTAGATGTATGCAGGGAATCCAGCCAGCTGGCAACCATTTTAGCCTTTAAAAATTGTATGCACATATATACCTACACATTCACATACATGAACAACTTTAATATTTTATGTTGTCTGCCTGAGCCCTGTGGCCAATTTGCAAACAACCAAAACAACAGTGCAGTCATAATGGCAACGACAGCAGCAAAACTTTGAACAAATATTGACATCGTTTTTTCGCTTTTCCTTAACATTTGCCAACATTTTCCTGCTCTTATTGCGTACGTAGTAAATAAAACATTCAACCGTTATGCGCATGCATATGCACGGCAGCTCGGTTCGACTCAGCTCAGCTCGGATTAACTCGACTGGACTTTCAGTTCTGTTCAGATACCAGCTCGGCCCGTACCGTCCCGGCCAGCCCGTTTGTTGCAGGCATCGCGGTCAACGTCGCGTCATCATCATCGCCGGCTGTGGTCAGCGCTGATGTTGGTTTAGTTGATGGCCTCGGCCCGTGTGCCGGCTTCTGGCTGTCAGTAGAATTTACTTAACGACCTGGCCTGGTCAAGTAATGCGACTTGGGCAGTCAAGCTGACCAAGGGCTTAGTGAGAGGTCGCGTTTCATGCAGGCCAAAAGTGCTGCATCATAATACTATTCATTTTAATCTGTAAATTCATTTATGATTGTCTTTTTGAAGGTGAGTCGTCCTACAACGGGTCGCTTGTTAATGATGTCAATTGCAACTTAGGTTGTAAAGTAGTTAGCTTAAAATTTGAATTTAAATCTTCTTAAATGCTTAGCTAACATGCAGAAATGAACTATATATGACAGGGTAGAAACTTGGGCATAGTATTGAATTTTGAATGTATGCCATGTGATTGCCATTTGGCATTGCAATTTCAATTGATTGATAAATTCGTTAGCGGGAATATGTAAAAATAAGTAGAAAATAGAAAATGTTTCGTTTTATTCTCGTTACTATTTGCAATTTCGATTTGTAAGGCAAATATACTCACGCCGGACGTGCGAGCCATTTTGATATTTGCATGCTCATATATATATACATACACATATATATATATGTGTATATATTGTATATATATATAGTATATATATAGTATATATATAGTATATATCGATTGATATGAGTATTACGACATTTGAATTAACAGGCCAGCCTGTCCGGGCTGTTACGGCTTTTGGCAGTGTTTGTTTTAGTCGGAGCGTTATTTGTTTATGCATTACATGAACTAATGCTACAAAGTCTTGACCAACGGCCATTCATAAAGCTGCAATATCAACAACAACAGCAACAACGACAACATCAACTGCTATACCAACAGCAATAGCCACGAGCAATGAGCATTAAACGCAATTGTTAGCCTTGTGCCAGAAACCAAATAATAGTAATAATGCGAAAAAAAAGAAACAGCCAAGAAATCAAGAAATACCGAGGGAAATAAAGCACGAATCAAAAATAAACGCCACAAGTTTATGAACATTTAAAAATCGCGCCAGCACTTTGCGTTGAAAATTCAATTAAAATGGCAGCGCGTCGTCGCTAGTAATTAATGCAAATGGCCAGAAATAAAACTAAATCAAGTCGCAGATCAGAAACGAAAAGGAAAATGACGAGCGAATCAGGTGAGGTAGCCGCTGCGGGGGCAATAATGCAGTGGAAATGAAATGTAAACACGAAAAACGGGCAAGTTAATAAAAATATTTTTCAATTCTCAAAGCAAAAACTACAATATTGAAATAAAATCGAATGAGAGAAAAAGAAAACAAACACATAGAAATGTGAAAATATTTGCAAAATGTTGTAAGAATTTTGTAAATACACGGAATAAACAAATGCAATTGTATCCATATATCGCTGAATTGAAATCTTTATATAATGCCGTTTATAATAAGACACAACAGTGCGGCAAAAATAAAATACGAAAAAAAAAAGAAAACAAATAAATAAACAAACGCATGGCGAATAGTATGGAAAACCAGTTATTGACAAGACTTTGCTTAGACACTTTTAAATACAATGATTAAGTTAATGTTTATGCCTTGTTATTGCTGTCGATGCCCAAATGACGTCACAGTGACGTCAAAGCGATCCGCTTTTATTTATAGCAGGTGCGACCCGAGCCGAGCAACGCCGAGCGGCCTGCGGTAAGCGGTGCGCGGTGCGTTGTGAAATGCAAAAGCCAAATTAAAACATACACACAGTGTCAATAAAACATCGTCATAGTATTTAAATGAGGTTTGACAGCCACACACACGCACACTCACACTCGCACTCACACACTATTAAGTGTATATATTTATGTGTGCGCCTTTATTATTATAAATAAATACTTGTATTGATACAGGTGGCCTTACTCAGGCCAAGCAATTCGTATAGCTTTTGGCCGGGTCAAATGCGGGCCAGCCTTGGCGCAATGCGGGTCTGCTATGTTGTTGT